TGTGTGTACATGAGTGTGTGTACGTGTGTGGGTGTGTGTACATGAGTGTGTGTACGTGTGTGGGTGTGTGTACATGAGTGTGTGTACGTGTGTGGATGTGTGTACATGAGTGTATGTACATGAGTGTGTACATGAGTGTATGTACATGAGTGTGTGTGCGTGTCTGCATATGAGGGAGAGGGAGAGGGAGAGAGACAGATAGGGAGAGAAAGAGAGAGAGACAGAGACAGAGACAGAGAGACACACAGAGAGAGAGAGAGAGAGAGTCGGATAGATGGCCGGAAGGAGGGAAGGAGGGAGGAAAAGAGAGAGTGCAGAAGTTCATTCAGGGAGGCCTTAACATTTAATTAGAACATTTTCCAACAAAAATAAAAACAGGAGAAAAGCATTTCTAATGAGCACTCGCCAGGTCCTAAGGTGAAAGGCCCACGCTCCAATTCCAGCGGTACTACTAGATGCTGCTGTGGCGTGCGGCACCCAGACGGGACCTCAATTTCCTTCTCCGTGCTCCTGCTTGCTTTCTAGCTGAACTCCACAGGCAAGGTCAGACAGTCTGTCTTTGAAATTAGAAACCATTCTGTGACTTGTGATTTTATTACTCCATTTCAGCTCTGAAAGAACTCCAGCACAGCAACTGTATATTTCTCCAGGCCAGGCACCTTTAACCACACGTTTTTGCCCTAGAGAGTATGATCATCACACAAAACCCTAAGCTGAAAAAAAAATATTGTTTCAATTAAACCTCATTGCTTCAGAAAACAGAATTATGGAGCAGTAAAATTAATCATCCTGTTTCATTTGTGATCAAAATACATGCTGATTGGTAGAGCTAAATATAGATTATTTTGATGAGGTACTTTTTAAAAAAATGTATTTAGTACAGGGTCTACAGAGTCTCACTACGGAGATCAGACTCCTAGTGATCCTCCTGTTTTCGGCCTCCCAAGCGCTGGGATAACAGGCGTGCACAACCATGCCCAGTCTCAATCACCAACTCAGCACGCCCTGGAGGCAAGGCAGCACAGCACACAAGGGATCGAGCCCCGGTCCCCGCGTCTGCCTAAACAGGCACTTTAATCTGCTGAGCTATCTGGCTGGCCCTAGATTATTTTTAATAAGCAAAAAAATAAGAAATCAATCATAACATGGCTGACTAAAAGCAGAATACTATAATAACAAAGCAAAACATGAAGCTGCCATGCCCCAACACTACCTCTTCTCAAATAAAAGGAATAATTTCATCCTTACCATATTTCTGGTAACTGTTTTAAACAAAGTGAGCATTATTAAGCTTAAAATAAGGGCACATAGGCTGAAGCATATTAGAAACCCTACAACTTGCTAAACCAAGTGGAAAAGTAGCATCTCGGTTCAGGGATTTTCCCACTACATAAATGAGCTTCTATTCACTCCCATGATTTCAGCCCATACAAGAAGTTTGCATATTCTCACCGTAAGGACCACTATAAAGTCCAAGTTGGTCTCCAAATGCAGTCTTTAACCCTCTCTCCTCTCACACAACACTCTTACTGCAGTTTCGAGGCTACAGCTATTGATATTTTTGGCTGGAACAGTTCCTTTCTGTTGTAGCTATGGAGGGATGAAAATACCCATGCTGCCAAGGGACACGTGTGCCTGGCACACCAAACAACCAGCAGGCCCCTAAATCTGATCCTTAGCCCTTAGTTGCAGCCTTTGTGTTGACACTTGCATTTGTCATTTTTACACTTTTCTCTGCTTGCTCAGTATTGGAATTTCACACTAACTGTGAAGAGAATCAGACTTCTTTCAGTCACTTTGCCAGTATTATTTGATATGGTTTATGTCTAGTTGTCTCCCTAAAAAATCTCATACAGTTGTTGGGGCAGATTCTAGAGTATATCATTAATTCATGATCCAATGCTGGGATTATGGTACCAGTGCTACACTCACCCTGGGGTGGGTAATCTGCATAGAATATAAGGAAGGGGAGAGGCTTGCTAGCTGCCTCAGCTGCTGTTCCTTCCTTTGCTCTTTGCTGTTTTCCATCACTATGAACTGCTGCCCTCTTCCATGTGCTGCTCTGCCTTGGACCCAGCTGAGTATGGACTGAAACCTCCACTAACTGTAAACTAAATGAACCTTTCCTTCCTTAATGTTGGGAGTCCCAGCAATGAGAGCAAAATAACTGAGACATTATTTATTTGAGCCAACTAGGTAACCAGCTACTTTCCAGACCAGACTATAAACTGAGGGTGCAAAATACAATTATGTATGATCTTCCCAAGGAATAAAACAATACCTGAACTGTGAAGTAAATGAAATATTTTAATCACAAAGTAAAATGTAACCTTGGGCAAGTCATTTCCCCTCTCTGGGCTTCAGTGCATAAAGGACTGAAATAAAATCATCATGAGAGAACATTAAAGTTATTATACTGTATGTGGAATTTTACATTTGTGTTTGGGTTCCATGATTCCTCAAATAACATTCAAAAGGTGCAAAAATGAATACATTTTCCTCTGCTTTGTACTCAGGAAAAG